TGATCGCAAGGTTACGCATGATGGATTCACGAACAAGCATTCCTTTGAGTTTAAGGGGAAGAAGTTCACTCTAGTTCCAATGACACCATCTGAGATACATCACGATCAGAAACACGTGTGCAAGAAGAAAGAAAAAGAAAGTTTGAGTGCCCCAAACACTAATCACGAAAAACAGAGTGAGAGTTTGAGAAAAGCCAAGAAAAAGGCCTGTGAGAGTAAACCCGTGAGAAACTCAAACTTCTTTGTAAAATCTTGTGAGGTTAAGAGAGCTCTTTTCTCTAAGCAGCCTGTGATTCTATTTGTTTATAAAAAGGCTCTCTTGAGCTTGACTGACCTTGAACCGGTGCTGCTGAGTGAAGTTACTTTTCTTTTGCAGGATTTTGGAGATGTATTCCCTGAAGAAAACCCGAGTGGTTTACCCCCAATCCGTGGGATTAAGCATCAGATAGACTTTGTACCTGGAGCTTCACTACCAAATCGTCCAGCCTACAGAACCAATCCAGTGGAGACCAAGGAGTTTCAAAAGCAAGTGGGCGAGCGAATGGAGAATGGATACATTAGAGAGAGCATGAGCCCTTGTGCTGTGCCAGTTTTACTTGTTCCAAAGAAGGATGGAAGTTGGAGAATGTGTGCTGACTGCCGAGCCATCAACAACATAACATTTAAGTATCTCCATCCTATACCTCGCTTAGATGATATGCTAGATGAATTGTTTGGTTCTAGTGTGTTCTCTAAGATTGATCTGAAAAGTGGATATCACCAAATTCGCATGAAAGAGGGTGATGAATGGAAAACTGCTTTCAAAACCAAAGAGAGATTGTACGAATGGTTGGTGATGCCTTTTGGTTTGACTAATGCACCTAGTACATTCATGAGGTTAATGAACCACGTTTTGAGAAAGTTCATAGGCGTTTTTGTTGTGGTCTACTTTGATGATATCCTGATTTATAGCAAAAGCTTAAGTGAGCATGTAGAGCATTTGAAATCTGTTTTAGATGTTCTTAGGAAGGAAAAGCTGTTAGCTAATCTGAAGAAGTGTACCTTTTGCACAGATAATCTTGTGTTTCTAGGCTTTGTTGTGAGTGCACAGGGTATACAGGTTGACGAAGAAAAGGTCAAGGCAATCCGTGAGTGGCCTAGTCCAAAGAGCGTTGGAGAAGTGAGAAGCTTCCATAGACTAGCAGGCTTCTACAGACGTTTTGTGAAGGACTTTAGCACCATTGCTGCACCATTAACTGAAGTGAACAAGAAGGACGTTGGTTTCAAATGGGAAGAAGCACATGAAGAGGCGTTCCAAACCTTGAAAGGGAAACTTACTAACGCACCTCTTTTGTCTTTGCTAGACTTTCTTAAGACCTTTGAAATCAAATGTGATGCTTCTGGTGTGGGAATTGGGGCCGTGCTGATGCAAGAGAAGAAGCTCATTGCTTATTTCAGTGAGAAACTAGGAAAAGCTACGTTGAACTACTCTTGATGCTAAGTTGTTAGGATTTGAACAACTTAAGGAAATGTATGAAACTGATTCTGAGTTTAGAGAATTGTTTCAAGCTTGCGAAAAGTTTGCTCATGGAAATATTTTAGGCATGAAGGATTTCTATTCTATGAAAATCATTTGTGTGTGCCTAACTGTTCTTTGAGAGATTTGCTTGTTAGAGAAGCTCATGGCGGAGGCTTAATGGGATATTTTGGAGTTGCCAAAACACTAAGTGTTATGCAGGATCATTTCTACTGGCCGCACATGAAGAGAGACGTGGAAAGGATTTACGGTAGATGTGTCACTTGCAAGCAAGCTAAGTCTAAAGTGCAACCCCACGGTTTGTATACTCCTTTACCCATTCCTACTGAGCCTTGGACTGACATTTCTATGGATTTCGTGCTTGGTTTGCCAATGACTAGAAAAGGAAGAGATTCTATCTTTGTTGTGGTAGATAGATTTTCTAAAATGGCGCACTATATCCCATGTCATAAAACTGATGATGCATCTCTCGTTGCTGATTTGTTCTTTTGAGAAGTTGTTCGTTTGCATGGAATGCCTAGAACAATTGTTTCTGATAGAGATACTAAGTTCTTAAGCTACTTTTGGAAAACGTTGTGGTCTAAGTTAGGAACTAAGCTGTTGTTTTGAACTACTTGTCATCCTCAAACTGATGGTCAAACTGAAGTAGTGAATAGGACCTTGTCTACTCTCTTGCGTGTAATCATTAGAAAGAACATCAAAACTTGGGAAGATTGTTTGCCTCATGCTGAGTTTGCATATAACCATTCAGTGCATTCTGCTACCAAGTATTCACCTTTTCAGATTGTCTATGGTTTCAATCCGCTAACTCCTTTGGATCTAATCCCTTTGCCTTTGAATGAAAGAGTTAGTATGGATGGGAAAAAGAAAGCTGATCTTGTTAAGCAGATTCATGAGAAAACAAGACTCAACATCGAAGCAAAGACAAAGCTGTACGAAAAGCAAGCAAACAAAGGAAGGAAAAAGATGATCTTCGAGGTTGGAGATCTTGTTTGGGTACACTTGAGGAAATTACGTTTTCCGGCTGAAAGAAAGTCTAAGCTTATGCCGAGGATCGATGGGCCATTCAAAGTCTTGAAGAAAATCAGTGACAACGGTTATCAGATTGATTTGCAAGGTAAGTACAACGGGAGTTCAAGCTTTAATGTTTCTGACTTAGCTCCTTTTGTTGCAGATGAACCAGATTTGAGGATAAATCTTTTTCAAGAGGAGGGGCTTGATGTGATCATGGAAGGCAACCGGGATGAACTTGTGGAAGCTGAGCTTGAACTTGCGGATGCAATGCTTGTACCAGCGGTTGGACCTTTGACTCGTTCTAAAGCTAAGAGATTTATGCAAGGAATTGGAGGTTTACTTAACCAAATGCTCACATCCAAAGAGAACTCGGATTGGAATGGAGAAGACTCAACTCAAGGAGTTCTAATGATGATCCAAGTCCAAGAAGAGGTCTAACGGGTTTGTGATCATTTGTACTCTTTTTCCTTATCCTTGGTTTTGTCCCAATGGGTTTTCCAGGAAAGGTTTTAATGAGGCAAATGGATCACAAAAGTTACTAAGCCCATTCACTTAAAGAAGACCAATTCGTGACTTGGAAGGAAGAGTTGAAGAGGCATCCACAAAATCACTTCAAGAGTCATTTTGAAGCTCAAAAGTCATTCAAACTTAGTTTTAATTAAGTCTTTCTTTAGTTAATGCTTTGACCACGAGTTTGCCTCTTGGTTTACTCATTTTATTTCTATATAACTCATGTAATCTCATTTGAGAACAACAACCCTTTTTTTTATAAAATCTTTTGAGAGTGATTCTCTTTGTTCCTTGTGAACATTTCGATCTGTCTTGGTGTGTCATATCCAAGGGATCAACCTGGTTTATCAAGTGTTCTTCATCACACTTGTGTGGCCATTCTACCGACTGAAGATAGTTGTTTGCTGTATAAGTTAGTATCAGGTGGTGAGTTTAATATACTCACTATTGGAGCTACCTGCAGCACCTTTCTAAGGTTTCACCGCCTTTTTCTTTAGAATTTCTGCTTCCATTGGATTAAAGGATTATCCCTACCAACTTTAGAGTGCCCGATCTTGGAGGATCGTATCAACTGCCGGGTCGATTCCTCATGGTAGAGATTTAAACGCTCTGAGAGCGCTTGATTCGCTCTCTAGCCAGGTGGCTCGGGCGGTGCGGAGAATTTTGAATGTTTGTTGCCTGGAGCGACATCAAACGGTGATGGCGGATGACGCGGGGAATAACCAAATATCCTGGATAGTCTGTAGGAAAGCGCGGCTCTGGTGGTGAATCTCAGGGCAACCATTATAGAGCTGCGGGGTGAGTAATCTGAACTCCAAGCACATATCTGAACTCTGGAGCTTACGTGAGCTCCATTGGGCTGAGTCCTGTCAAGAGATCGTATGGCAAGTTCATTTCGAACTGTCATCGGATCCCTAGGATGCGGATGTGGTGGCTGAGGTGGTATTTTTTGGCGGCTAGTTTGTCCTGAATATTAGCACTGAGTAGTCTGACCTGTGGCGACTCATCCCTGGCTGCGGTCTTTCTTTGCTGTTTCTTCATTGGCTTATTCTCTTCTTTTCGGCTTTTCTCTTATGTGGGTTACTTACGGAGGGTGTCTGCCTGTCCGGGTTATAAATCTGAGCCTCTCAGATTCGTCATATGCGGGGTTGACTGGTATACAGCCCCATGGCAAAAATTTGTCAAGGTTCTGCAAACATTCACAATGGCTGAGTCGTTTGGAAGACGGGAAAGGGGTTTTCCTTCCAAAGGTTCTCCGATGTTTAGATTACGTCCCAATAGAAACAAGTACTTCGAAAATTGATGATAGTTTAATAGTTTGAATACCCCGTCTGAAAATCGTAGTATCCATCTACTAACAAAAAAACGTAAGATAAATGGACCATTAAAAGAGTGGAGTTAGAGCTCTCTTTCGATGATAAATAAAGTAAAAATTAAAAAATAACTTATCTCGGTCGGTCTTCCTTCTAAGAAACGTTGAGCATATCTCTTTTGATCTCGCCGCTAAGTCTGTTCGGTCAATTTATATGCCGACAATATCTTATCTTTGATGTTGTGCACTTCTTTTTCTCTATCGTTTATTAATGAGTTCGATCTCTCTTTTTAAGACTTATCCGTCTTTTGATCATTTGAGTGTCTCTTTCTTTCTTGGCTTTTTTTTTTCTTAACGCATTTTTCTCTCCGATCTGTTCCGTTTGAGAAACTCTTGAGAGAGTAAATGAACTATTGCAGCACACTTACAATTTGAAAAATCTGTGAACTACTAAAGAATAGTTGGTTAAGGAATTATTGAACAGATCTAAACAAAACTTATTATTACGGTTAGTTTTACTATTAACATATTACTTTTTAATAAAATACTAGGTGATGACAAGCGGATTTACATTTTATTATATATTTTTGGATCTATGATTTGATGACTTAATAATATACCCTTCGAAAAATTGTTTTGATAAAATTAAGCTTCACAGATTTGCCTTTGAGCCGTTTTCTTGCTTGATTGCTTTGGCTTTTGCACTTCCATATTCAAAACTACACACCACAACCTACAAAACCCACGATGTAAGTTTCGATTTAAAAATCAAGAATAGAGAAAACCATTCAAACAAGATCTCTACAATATAGAGCTAAAGTTATCAAAATTAACTCCATTGTCGTTTAAGTTTGAATGATAAATTTCTAAGTTTCTCCAAGGTTTAGGTTTCAGTGACAGCAACTGCAACCCTAAATATATCAGTGAATTGGTTAATACTAAACATCGAGAGAAATTTGAAAACTGAACGAGACTGGCTGCAGTAAGTGTTCCAACTCCGCCACCAATATGACCACCACTGGAGCGGGAGAGAGAGACACTAATACCGCATGTTCAGCTTTTAGGCTCACCTTCTTCATTCACCAGGTAAGATCCTCCTAAGCTTAGTATCTCAAAATGCCCCTACACATCAACAACAAAAAGAATGAGTAAGGACTTTGTTTGAGAGAATAAGAATCAGCTGTACATCGGAGAGGAGAGAGAGACATACCTTTGGTTTCATCACCACCTTCTCCGCTTAATATACCACCCTGAACGGCAGCACCTGAATTGGTTCACACCCTTGTTGAGCTATTTTCCTTCAAAGAAATCCTTCAGGAGCTGTTGTACCTTTGGGATCCTAGTGCTTCCACCGACGATTACAATCTCATGGATCTGGTTCTTCTGTAGACCAGCATCATCCATGGCCTTCTTCACAGATCCCATTGTCTTCTGAACAAGTCGTTGTTCAACTCCTCGAAACGGGCTCTGGTGAGTGGCTCAGAGAAATCAGTGCCATCAAAGAGGGACTCAATCTCAACACGGACTTGGTGCTGGGTGCTAAGAGCTCTCTTGGCTCTCTCACATTCCCTTCGGAGCTTACCCAGAGCCTTCTTGTCCTTGCTGATGTCCTTTTGGTGCTTCTTCTTGATCATCTTGATGAAGCAATCCACGATCATGTGGTCAAAAGTCCTCACCTGCGCATATCACTTTCACAAAAAGGGTTTTAACACAACGACCACATAAATGTCAATATCTAGAAAACGCATTGTTGTTACTGAAAAAGTGATGAGATTCAGACATATATTTGGTCCAAACATCAGACTGCATAGGAAAAGAAGCACTAATGAGAACCCCCAAACACAACACCATGTGAAGACTTTATAGTAAAAAAGCATGAACATTTAATCAATCATTCATTAGTTCACTGCATTCATAAAACATCTCCACTTTCGTGGGAGTAACTAAAATCAACACTTTTATTGTTCTTCCCACCATGGCCTCATAGCAACAACGATATCACTAAACCTAAGTCAAATTGCAGATAATCTAGGATCTAATTCACTAAAAAAAGCATTAATGCATAAGGCACAAGATTACCTGTAAGGAGTATCACCACCAAACTGCTTCTGGTTAACATAGCCAGAGAGGAGCTTGATACAAACACCACCACACTCTATGTCTTGTTCAATTTTGACCCAGAGTTCGATTTTAGTTGCTAAACTCTAGGATCTTTGCAGAAATCGCATAATGCTTGGCATCATTGTAGGTCTGAATACCTAAACACAAGACGAAATCGAAAAGCAAAATTCCTAAGTTTAACCAAATAAAGATGATGATATTTCCTCAAGTTAACTTCAACGATCAAAGCCATATATTACAGTAGAGAACTCCACGCCTTTTTCCATAGAACAAAAGACGCAAATCGCTACAGCGACAAGAACAACATATCAAAGAACTAAAACAATGAAGCATAACGAAGAACACATGACAAGGCACGAAAGCAGTAAGCAGAGATCACAGAAATTTAAGATTCACTTATTCTGATAACGCAACTGGTATAGACTTAACGGGTCGGCGAGAGGAATTAAATTACCTTTATCGTCAGGATCGGCAGGCCATTTTCCCGCAGTGTGCTTAAAAGTTCCTGCTTTTCCTTCGTTTCTTTTCCAATCAGATAGGACCCACCTGCTCTTCCATCCACCTGAACATATGTAACTAAGTTAATTGCATAAATATATAAAAGAGAAAGCCCAAACAAAAGGAGAAAAAATTCAGAATCATGGAATCGTTATATCAACCAGAAAAAGAAACTTCAGACTGAGGATGGGGTTTGGCTTCACTGTCCTAAATAACTAAAATTCTAAAAAAGCAATACTGTATATCCAAAAGGCAAACGCCGGTAACAAAATCGTTTGTTATTGTTTATCTGGAAAGCATAAAGAAAAGAAGAGAGAAGAGTTTATTGTACTTCACCTTCGAAACGCTCTTCTAAGAAGATCTCGGAGAAAGCCAAGGGAGCAAGAGTGAGAAAGAGGAACAAGAGGGAGAAAGAATTGAGCTTTTGGCAGCGATAAATTTTTAATAATCAATAATGTATTTTCTTTGCAAATTAAATAGAAAGAAAACTCACTTAGAGCATCAACAACGCAGAGTCGGATAAAAAATTCTTAATTTTCTTTTTTTATTAATTTTTTTTAAAAAGAAAATTAATTTTAGAAAAAAAAAGAAAAAATTTTGACGAATCACATCATGTTACATCAGCGAGAATAGCTCCTCCAGTCCCTGTGCAGAGAGACGTCTTTGTCATTCAAACTCGCCACGTCATTAAAAAAAACATTTTTCTTTTTTTTCCCTTAGAGCCTCAAACAAGCTCTGCATTGCAGATGCTCTTAAATTTTTGTGTTGGAGATTTGGATTCTGTTCTTCTTGTGAGTTTCAACAATCGCTCTTGTTGGCGGCATGAAAACGATGTTTATCTCCAGTATTAGGATCGGTGCAGGTGCTATTTCTATCGCCATCTTCAATTACTCTTTCTTTTAGTCTCTACATAAACTTCCTTCTCTCTAGTTACATGGAAAAAAGTCTAGTAAAAGCGGAGAAACCCAAATCTCAAATCGAAAGAGAGTAGATAAAACCTAAATCAGATTTCGTATTCAAGAGAAAAAGATATGAAAGGTTTAGAAAATAAAATGAGTAAATTGTGAAAACTGCTAATAGGATGATTAAATTGTGGAAGGAATGCTTCGGGAGAAGTGTCTGCAAATTATTGTGGGAGAAATACTTTGCCAGAAGTTTCTCCAAAATTATTTTTGTCACCCTCTTGTGAAACATAACCCAATCTTTATATAATAGATGATAAAAATAAATCTAATATTTATAATCAATGTATATTGTGTGTTTTATTTTTCATTTGTATTAACAAATTTTTTTATTTAAATTCTATTATACTTTTATTTAATAAAAATAATGTATATCTAAATAATTACTAAATAGTTAATTTTTGTATTAGAATTTTGTTTAAACGTTTAAGATATTAAATCGGTGTACAAAAAATATTCATATAAATTGTCTAAATAAAAATTATAAATAATGATTTTTATTTATTTTTTTGTTTTGTTTTCGAAATATAATGTATATATATTGAATTGATTAATTTTATAAATTGAGTACTTAAAAACATTAAAATAAATTAAATATTGAATTTTTTTGATTTTTATTTAAAATAAATTTATAAGTACGAAGCCAAAGCTCTATACCAAATTTATTTAATATCAATGATGATTGTCACTAGAAAAGTTGCAACCAGAAAAGGTGTGCTATCATGATGATGATGACTATTATTCTGATGGTGATTGTGATGATAACTGATGATGACCAGTCCTGGCAACATCTGTTGCAGAGGCTGTCGAGACCACCGAATCTGACATTTCTTGTGTCTTGGTTTGACTTTTGTCCAAATTAACAGCATCAGTCATATTCTTCTTTTTTTATATAATTAGTGCAAGCAGAGGCGACACAACAAAAAAGAAGAATCACTGCAATGCAAGCGAGAGTTATAAGTGCAACGTATGTAATATCCATCTTAATTTGTCTTTGTTTTTTTACGTTTAGGAAAAACAATTAGAAGAATAAGAAGGTAATATCTAGAGAAAATTTTATTTTAAATTTTTGGTGCAACTGAATGAAGAATATTTGTTTTTGTTTTTAGAACATTCTTCTATTAAAAGCGTGAGAAAGCAAATATTAAAAAGCAAAGTCCAGTGTTTGATTTTAATGGACTAAGTAGCCTACAAAATCTAGAAAACATATAATTAGAAATAATAATAAACTAGAAAAACTAGATTGGCTAAACCAAACTAGTTCAATTCGATTGAAACTAGAATTAAACCGAAAATAAAAAAGAAATCAGAACCAGTTTTCTTTCAGAAATCAGTAAAACCGAGTAACCACTCAATTATTTGATCAGAAATAAAAAACCAGCGATCAAAAGAAATCTCTAACAGCCGCGAGAGAGAAACTTCACGATAAGCCATGAGTCTACGATCCTTGGAACCATTGTTGCAGAAGCTTTGAGGCAAACACAGGTCTGGACTTGCGAAAACTTGAAACTTTGTTTCTGATGATACGATCAATAGAGGAGATGATGCTGTCCACCGATTTATAACTGTTTCGGTGGAGACGATGGTTTTGTTCAGTCCAGAGGAAGTAAATGGTAGCTTGCCAAGCTAGTAGATGCAAAGTTTGAGAGACTTTATTTCCCGACAGAGAGAGAAGAGACGCTAATGTGTTTTCCCAATGCCTATGAGGAGTGAGATTGAGCTTTCCTGCAATTACGGCCCAAATCGACCAAGTAAAACTGCATTCAAAGAAGATGTACCCCCTCGATTCAGGTACAAAAGCACAGAGGAGACATGTCTGATCCGAATGAAGACCCCAACTTAGTATCCTATCTCTTGTGGGGCAACGATTGAGGACAAACAACCATGTGAGAAACCTATGTTTCGGGATGCCACCAGAGAACCATACCACCTTCGACCACGGTACTAGATTTCATATATCCTTTACTAAATTATATATTGTACCAGTTGAGTATCGATCGCTTTTTATACCATCTGGCCACCATTCGTAGTAGTCTTTTTGAGGAACTAGACTTACAGTAGTTAGATGAATTTGAAGTTGAAGCTGATGTTCTGATGTTGCAAGAGGGATACGCCATGAGTTGTTCCTCCACAGAGAAGCTAATGTCAATTTTTGACTGATCCCTAAATGCAAATGGGCATTCTGATTAAGGAAACCGTTGATGTTCCCAAACGGACTCCAGTTATCAGACCAGAAAAAGCAGTTTTTCCATCGCCTACAATCAGTTTAATCCAAGGATAAGCTTTCTCTTTGGTTTTTAGAAGTTTGTTTGCTTGCCAGGAGTTTTTCTGCTTTGGTTTCTCAATCCAGAATCTGCTTAGATTATCTGAGAGGACCTGTTTTTTGAACCAGAAAACCCAGATTGACCCAGAATTGAAGAAGAGAAGCCAGATCATCTTGAGTGTACAAGCTGAGTTCCAATGCAGAAGATCCCTCAATCCCAATCCTCCTTCCTCTTTGGACAAAGTAACGGTGGCCCAGGCTACACGTGCAGAGTGTCTTCCTTTTGCTGTTCCCTTTCTAAGAAAAGCGTTGCAGAGAGAGTTTATCAAAGAGATGCACTTTTTTGGCAGGACAAAGGAACAACACCAGAAATAAGTGTTACCAGCAATGACAGAATTTAGTGGACGACCCGCAAAAGATAATGATTTTGCAGACCAAGATGTCAGGCAAGATTTGATTTTTTGGAGCAAAGGCTCATAATTCAGCAACGTAAGCTTTTTGGTAAAAAGAGGCACTTCCAAATATCTAACAGGGAGGGAACCATGAGAGAGACGAGTTGATTCCTCTAACTGCTGGATTTCTTGTTGCGAGAGACCTGAAGAGAAGAAAGAGGTCTTTGAGACACTGAGCGTAAGACCTGAAAGAGACTCAAAGTCCCTTAAGATTTGGAGGATACTTTGAACTGCTTGTGGGGATCCTTCCGAGAATATAAGTAGGTCATCTGTGAAGCATAATTGAGTTAGCTTTGAATCCTTGCATTCTGCATGATAACCAAATTTTCCTTCCTCTGCAGCTTTATTTAGAAGGAGAGATAGACAATTCATGGCAATGACGAACAGGTACGGGGACAACGGATCTTCCTGTCTTAGGCCACGTTTTCCTTTGAAGAAACCATTGACAGAACCATTGAAGCCCACAGTGAAATTAGGAGTACAAACGCAAGCCTCCAACCATTGCAGGTAAATTCCAGGCACCTGTAAGCTTCTAAGGCAGATAAAAATAAAATTTCATCTTACACTATCGAAAGCTTTAGCAATGTCCACTTTAAGAGTTACTCTCTTAGGGCCTTTATTCTTGTGGTAGCCATTTACAATCTCTGCAGCCAGGATGGTGTTCTCCACTAGAAGTCTACCCTTGATGAAATCAGTTTGGTTCGGAAGAATGAGATCTGGTAGAATGGGCTTTAACCTGGAGACCAGAAGCTTTGAAATGGTCTTGTATAAGGTGGTACAACAGGAAATTGGGCGAAAGTCAGTAAGCAGAGAGGCGCCTGGCTTTTTTGGGATCATAGTAAGAATCTAGCATTAACAGCAGAAGGCATGAAGGAAGAGTTGAAGAAGTGGAAGATTCCTGAAATGGTCTCATACCCAACTACACACCAAGCAGATTTGAAGAAGCCGGAGGTAAGACCGTCAGGACTAGGAGATTTATTAGGGTTAAGCTTTTTGATAACTGATGCTATCTCTTGGGAACTGAAGACATTGAGGTTTGAGGGTCGATTGTTTGTCCAAGTAAGGCTAGTTCCCTGGTGCCTCAGATCAGTGACATCAAGATCAAGTAAGCAATCTCGAAACTCTCTCATTCTGCTAGTGATGTGATTAACAGTATGAACGGAGTGTTCGTCATAATGTAGAATTTGGTTGAAATCGCTTCCTAGGACCAATTGCTTTGATCCAAACTTAGTGATTGCTTTACTGAAGTGAGATCACTCCATAATTCTTCTCGTTCACTTTCAAAATTTGAGACAATATATTGCTGTGAATATAATACTTAGACCTCCTTGTAGTTGCAGCTAAACAGTGAGAGATTGCCTTGTCTGATGGAGAGCGGTGACAGTTACTGAATTCCTCTAAACGATTACTATTCTACCATCCTTATCAGAGTGGTGGCTTGACAAAAAAGTTCCATCCTGGGCAGGTACGACTCATGACCTGGTTCAGGTTTGTTTCCTTTATATGAGTTTCCAACAAAGCTCCAAAAATAGGTTGGTGAGTTTGCAGCCAAAAAATAAGAGGGCCATGCTTGTCTGATTCATTAAGACCTTGGACATTCCAAAAAACGAGTTTCGGTATCATAGAGAATGAGGGAAAGATCCTCCTTGGGGTAGGAGGGTTCCCTCAAAAGGTAGTGATAAGCATTCAAAAATGGGGGATGGAGGAGTAAGGGGGGAGAGATTTTTGATAAAAGGTTCTGAGAAAGTAGTTTCATCGACAAAATTTGCCAAAGGGGAGAAAGTCGGAGAAAAAGGGGCTGAAGGAAGCAAAGGTAAAGAGGGGTTTTTAGTTGGAGTTTCAAGGAAAAATGTAGTTTCGAGAGTTTCGTGAGGAGTGTCAGAAAGCAAACCTAAACGGTTTTTTGAGGTGGCAGTAGAAGATGTTTGAGATACAAAAGCAGGTGGTGATTTGAGAGAGGGGGAAGGGCTATTATTAAGGGTTTTATTTATGGGGATAGATCTTTTTTGTTTTCTTGAGTTTGAGGTGTTTGGGGGGGGGGGGGGGGGGGGGGGGGGGGGGGGGGGGGGGGGGGGGGGAGGAGGAGGAGGAATGATTGGCGACTTTGAGGAGGAGGGAGTGTTTAAGGTTTCTAGATCAGAACCTGACGGGATAGTGGAAGCAGACTTTTGGATGGGCCTCCAAGAAAGAATTATATTCGAACAATGCTTGATGATATGTCCCATATGTTTACAGTGAGAGCAAGTTGAAGGAAGCCAAGGATACTAGACAGTGACATTGAAGACTTTGCTGCTTTGTCTAAGCAGCTCCATAGTCATGGAAAGAGTTTTTGAGAGATTTGCTGCAACTTTAACATGGGCAACACAAACATTGGTGAGTTCTTTTGTCCAATCATCCATCTCTATTGGCTCACCAATTTTTCCTGCGATTGGACTTAAGTCTTCATTATGCATCTGGTCAAATGGAACTCCTTTTAAATAGGCCCATATTGGGATTTTGAGCAAAGACGGCGAGACATTATAAGACTCAGCAGACCAAGCAGCGATATGGAACATTGTCATCTCAACATGCCAGATATGTTTCTGGAGAACTTTCGATCTGATGAACTCATTTGGAATACGAACTAACATCTTTGTTTCCAAGGGAAACATGTGAACCTCTATTTTCTTTCCTTTTCCCCACATATCGTTGAGGAAACTCTGAACCAGCCCATAAGATGGACAGTTTCCACAGAAATAGCCAACTATGAATTCTTTGTGAAGGGCAGAGCCTCTCTGGAAAACTTCATCTGGAATTTATATTCTGGGAATACCAGTAGTAGAAGAAGAAAGGGGAGCTAAACGTTTGAGAGATTGGTCTGAATCTAATTTCATTTTTTCTGTCCAGGTCTGTGATGGAGCTGAAAGAGCCTTAGGAGCAGAAAAACTTCTACCAGGAGGACGCTAGGGTGCTAAAGACTTTAGTAAGAGGACTCCTGCTGCATCGATCTGATTGTCTATCTCAGAAAGAGCCGATGACAAAGGCAAGATTTTTCCAGGGGACTGCACGGCAGATGAAGGACGAGGTAAGATACCTGGTCCCTTTTTTATAAGAATAGCAGCAGAATCTTGAGTGATATGACCTTAAGCACCAGCGTCCAAAGTAGCAGAAACTTCAAAATTAGCTTCAGAGGTGAAAGGTTTTGAGATCCCCTTTTGAATAGTTATTTGTGACCTAGAATTTTCATTTCCAGATAACGGATGAACAGTAGTGAACTTTTTTAGCAATGAACCAATTTCCACTGCTGTTAGGATAGTAAGAGGAGAAGAGGGGGCAAAATCTGCGGGTTTCAAAGTAGAACCAATTTGCAAATTTGCTTTTAGAACAAGAGAAGATAGGGGTTTAGGAGAAGAGAGAGGAGAAAAAAGGGTTGGATCGAGGGAAGGTGAATCTGGTGGGTCAGGAGGGAGATGAGGAGGTGGGGAGGGAGGGTTGGGATTGCCTGGATTCGAGCTTGAAGATCGGCCATTGGAGAACCAGGGGTTCGCCTGAGCGGACATCATTTTGATCTCTTTTTTAAGTTGTGTGTACGACGCCTTATCTTACAAGTTTTGATTTTTTTAACAACCAACGAAGAATGAATATTTGTTTGATCTCTGATTTTAAAGATGGCTTCAGTAGTACCAAAGTCAAGGATGAAAATTTCCGTAAGTAGTCATGCTATACTATTTGTTCAAACATACAATGATACAAAGACTACAAGAAAATACAAAATAAAAAAATTTATAAGAATAAAAATAATATGTTTTTAAAGTGTTTAAAAAAAATACAATGACATTCTTTTTCAAAAAAAAAATAATAATGACATAAAAAAAAATATTAAACAAAATGGACCATTGAAACATTTGAGTATTTTAAAAGCAAAAAAAAATTGTTTAAAATATCTTAACACTGATTTGTTATTCATAGCTCAATTGATTCAATATTTAATATCATTTAAAATATGTAAGACATTTTAATGTAATAAATAAATAAATTATATGATAGTATTTATAGGAAAAAGATATGAAGGAATTAGGATATACTGATCTTTAAAAAAAAGAATTTACTTAAGTATATATTACTATCAATTATAATCTATGTATTTTACTAAAATTTGCCTTATTTTCATATAAATCATTCCCAATAATGATCAAATTTAATATTCCCAAAAAAAGTCATTCATTTTTTCAACTTTAGTTTTAAAAATATGGGAGTAAATAAATAGCTATTACCATTAATTAGAAAAGATTTATATTAAATCTTCTTTTTATATATTTTTCATATCATTTGTCTTATTTTTCATGTTTTGTATGTTATCTTTTTGTGTGCGTTATCATAATTTGTATGAAAATAAACTTCTCTATTTTGCGCTCATTATAGCATCAATCCGGTGTTAATTTAGCTTTGATCCGTCTTTGTTGGTGGCTTCGAGAGACACATATTGTCGGTTCTCAAATTCAACGAGCTCTCTCAACTATCAATTTTTCTGGCAACTATCCCCTCATTTTGTCAATAGGTCAGGAGTCTGCTTCTCTTATAGTTTTTCATATATAAGATATATTCCACATCAAAAATTAGGAGGGACTTTAACTAATATATAAAAGACTTGGGCCAATCTACTTATAGCCAATTAGGTTAGAAGGTCATAAAACTTAACATGGTATCAGAGCCCGATCCACACTATCGTCATCCTGGCCCAAACGTGGTCTGGTTAGAGTTTATTTCTGACCCAAAAAAGTAGTTTCGTCCTTCGACCCAAAATTGATGGTCTGCGAGATTAATGGCTAGAAGAGTCATTATCTCGAGGAGGAGTATTGGATAATATATAGATTAATGGGTCATGAAGACTTATCTCTAGAAAGTGTGTAAAATATGACTCACATCGGAAGTTGGGAAGAATCTTGACTAATATATAAGAGACTTGGGCCAATCCACTCATTGCCAATTGGTTTTGGATTGGAAACTCATGAAACTTAACATTTCACTTGTTGGTCTGGCTTTATGACTATTCTTTAGCATTTTGTGTCTTTAATTTTATCGATTGTGGTCTAATGTTGGCTTTGTAAACCGATTTTTTGAAGATCTTTTGTCTGACTTTGCTTCCTAAATTCTTTATTGGGCATAGGTCATTATGGTTTTAGAATACACTTTCATCTGAACTTAATTCTTATACACTTTCATTTGAATTTATTTTGTGCCATTTTATGGACATTTATCTAATTCTTGTAATAAATAGATATTAAATTTGATCATTACTTTTATCACCACAATACATGTCATTAGCTTCTCGTATTTGTGAAAGTGGTTTGTGTTCCTTCTCTCACTATGAAATGACACCAAACTTGTCTCCTCGCATCTCTTAAGCACCTGACATAGATCAGACAAACACGAGGCAAAAGAAAAATCATAGACGGAGAAGTCATCCATAAATACTTCTACTATTTCTTCAATTAGGTCAAAGAAAATAGACATCATGCATCGTTGAAATGTGGCTGGTGCGTTACATAGTCCTAACGGCATTCTTTTATAAGCAAAAATGCCGTATAAGCATGTAAATATCATTTTATCTTGGTCATTAGGGCTAATGGGTATTTGGAAAATGCCACTATAAACCGTCTAGGAAACAATAAAAAAGATGATTTGCGAGCTTTTTAAGCATCAGGTCAATCATTAGTAAGGAGAAATGGTCTTTCCTAGAGCCTGCATTTAACTTCCTATAGTCTCCACTAGGACAGTTATAGTCCTAGTGGAGAATAATTGATCATTTTCAGTTTTCACAATGATTATCCCTCCTTTTTTTGTCACAACGTGCACCGGCGACACTCATCAGCTATCCGATATCGGGTAAATTACACCGGCATCAAGTAGTTTTAATATTTCTTTCTTAACAACATCCTTGAGGTTAGGGTTTAGCCGTCTTTGGTGTTAGGGCTGTCATTCGTTTTCAGTGAAGTCATTATGCACAATCAAAGGGTACGTCGAGGTGGTTCCTAGAAAAGCATACCTTAGCCCGGCTGGGAGCGGTTTGAGTTCTTGCTTGGGGGCATTAATCTCACTCCAGTCATCGTGTACACGCTCGCCCTTAGTGGCATGTGTGGTTTCCCTATACTTTTCGTTGCCCCGGCCTTAGCTTAACGGGCCAAGATTAGTTGATGCCTTCCGTGCTCTAGATCAGCAGGGAACTCGCCCTCCTCGACTATCTTCCCGGAGTCAAGCCTCAATACGTAGGCTTAAGACTCAGGGTTTAAGTGACCGTGCTCTCCTTCCTCTTTGGTCAATGCTACTTGTAGCGGATCTTCCAATGTTAGCTCTTCTAAGAGGTCTTGATCCAATTTGTCTAGTGTTTTGACCCAAAAGGCTTTGCCTCCTATCGTAGGTTTCTTCATGACATCGTTGATGTCGAACTTGAGGGTGATGTTCTTTCCCAAATTCAACTCGATTTTACCCTTCTTCACATCGACTGGTCGTGGCTAAGAACAGTTTTCCAGGGATGAGGGGATCTCTCGTTTCTTCGTCCATCTCTAAGACTACAAAGTCCGTGGAAACATTAACTTCCCCAATCCTCACATGTACGTCCTCCAAGAGACCCTTAGGCAGTCGTATGGAACGATCGGCTAGAATCAACGCGTTACAGCTCGGTTTGAATGTCGTGAAGCCTAATCTTGTTGTTATAGAAAGAGACATGAGGCTCACGCTTTCTCCCAAGTCATAAAGGCAGTTTCTGAACAAGAGAGGTCCAATGGAACATGGGGAGAGTGAAGCTCCCGGATCTTCTAATTTGTTGGGTACGGCCTTGCTCTGAATAATGGTGCTACACTTGGCTGTTAACAATACCATGCCCTGTAGTTCTTTGGTTCTTGCTAGAACGGCTTCTTTTAAGAATTTTTGGTAAGGAGGTAACAAAGAAAAGGCGTCCATGAGTGGCATGGTGAGCTCAATCTTCTTCAAATGCTCATCGAACAAGGCCTTCTACTTCTCCAGGAGCTGTTTCTTGAATCGTATCGGAATGGATATGGCGGTTTGTACCTAAATATCCTCATTTTTAGGTACACCTCATCCCCCACTGCAAACTCTAACTCCTTTCTTCTTTTATCAGCAAAGTTTTTCTGTCTGTCGTGGGCTGATATCTCCAATATTTATACTATTTTAGCTTGCATTCATCACTAGTTTTAGTCTTTAAGCATGCATATTTTGTTTCTTCTTGTCCCTTTTGCATACATTTGGGAGTTAGTGTAGTTTTGAAAAAGATCTCAGCTCGTGTTTTAGCTTGTATATATTAGGTTTTCAGCCATTGTTGGTTTTTATCTTAGATTTTGGAATTCAGAGAGCTTTAGAGAGATATTTATTCAAAGCTTTTGGGGAGAGATCCTGTACTCTTTTAGAGAAGATTTCGAACCCCTTTATCTTTTACTCTATCTCTTTTAATGCAGTTTTATTCAGTTATGTTTTGTGTCTTCATGATCATTTCTGAGTAGTTTGTTAGTTAAGTTAGGGATTTTCAAAGGTTGATGAAGAGTTTGTAGAATTGCTAAACTGTTAGGAAATCCATTGGTTCTTCATCTGTGCTTGCTTTCAAACCGATTTCTTTGACTAATCATCTGGAAATTCGAAAATCCTAGGTTGTTTAATAGATGTGAGAACATTGTTAATCACCTGAACTAGTATTAGATGAGCAAAACGCCTACTTGCAAAGAGATTTGACTTAGGAGTTTTGTGAACAATCGAAACCTGATCTTTAATGCTTGCTTAACTTGTTTGAATTTGCAAAGAGATTTGGAATTTTATTATTTAGGCATAGATAACTTCTGCAATGAGAAATGATTAGTTATATCATTGAGTTTTGAGTTTAAGACAGTTTTTATTCATTCCTGCTTGCATGCATTCTACATTCTCGGATTTAACCTACAAATTGTCCTGACTTAGCGCCTTTAGCTTTTCTGAAACTTAGATCAATCAACAAATTTCGTCTGCTTTCATTTATTCTACTATTTTTAACACTACATACACTACTGATTTCTTAGCTTAATCTGTACTTGAATTCTATAGTGTAGTTGGCTTACTCCATTGGAATTTGCACTACAAGAATTATTAAAAATAGCTGCGGACTGGCGAAGGCATTTCTGTAGCCATGATCATTAGCAACGTATATGGCAAGAGATGGCAACAGAACAAAAAATTGTAATTTTGTAGCCAAATCTATAGCAATTCTATAGCGATCCGAAGCTATATAGCTAAGGATGTAGTCCGTAGATGTCTCGTAGCTATTTAGCTACACACTTTCTTGGGATAAATCGACACTAAAAAATTTCAAGCTGGCAACATATGGCTACGTATATTGCTAAATGGCTTTGGCAATGTAACCTCAACAATCTGTCACACAGATAGCTATGATCTAGCAATAAAAATTTCTAATTTTACTAATTTTAGTTTTTCAATATGCCAACCACTCGATGCGGTGCTAGATACATTTACCACAAATTGTCAAGCCAACTTTATAAGATGATAATTATAACTAGATTATCGTGACTTTACACATATTATACATATGGCTGAATATCTAGTTAATGCTGAGACCGATGATGAAATAGAGTTGGACGATCCAACAATAGTTGAAGAACCTAATATAAGACCACTATCTATTATATAAAGAGTGGGTTGTGTCTCACAAGGAGATGACACCTCAGCACCCCTCTCCCTGACACATCAGGATTAATTTTTTTATTTTTATTTTTATTTTATAACTTAACTAAATAGAATGAGGTCTCTACGTGACACAGTTTTCTTTAAACTTTACGAAACACAAACAGTCGTTCCAAATTCTAATCCCGTTTTCTGTGCAATACTAATGGATTTAGAAAAAAGATTTAGCCTCTTTATAAATACTCAATTTACCATCAGTTCTGAGAAATTCCCAACACTCTCATTTGATCTCAGATATATCTAGAAAACGATCGGAGACGAAAAACGAGTTTGCCAAAAACAAAATCGCAGTCGACGGAAACTGCGATACTAAGAACGTAATTCGAGATTCTCAGACGCATCCAAGTTCAGGTATTGTGTGGATTATTTACGCTCCTCCTCCCTTTAATAAATTTCAAATTAAGCATTTTTCACTTTGCCTTCCTCTCTCTCTCTCCTTTCCATAAATCTTCGCCTTCCTTCCCCAGAATCCAATTTTCCCTTTTCGCTAATTCTCTTTGATGATATTTCTCTTCCCCTTCTGAATTTTTCTGGGTCTTTGAAGGAGAAGATCAATATCACAATATACGTTTCAGCTTTCTCGCGATGGTCTGTTTCAGACTCACGGGGAAATCCAGCAAACGATTGGAGACAAAGAACAACGAGTTTGCCAAAAACAAAATCGCAGTCGACGGAAACTGCGATCGTAAGAACGTAATTCGAGATTCTCAGACGCAACCCAGCTTAGGTATTGTATGGGTTTCTTGAAGCTATAAATCATATTTTTGATTTCTCAAATTCAGAATCTCGCTCTTTGGGTATTTGATTTAGAAATTTCCGGAATTAGGTCATCTGTTTATTGCGAAATGACGTTTTTGAATCGATTTGTTAGAGATAAATTATGTTTATTTGTGTATCGTATTGGAGGAGACAGAGACAATTTTTAGTTTTTGGTTAATCGTTTTTTTGCTGCAATCCTTGATTCATATCTTGATGTGTGTTGTATATGTTGTGTATATTGCTTAAAAAGTCAGTCCATGTGGAGATGTAAACAAGGATATAACTACTAAGGAGGATCAAGTAGCTTTCGACGCAAAGGATTCGAATGTGGAATATGAAGTTTCAGGGAAGAAAGCACAGACTTTCACCTTTGAGGAACTCTCTGTTTCTACAGGAAACATCAGGTCGGATTGTTTCCTAGGCGAAGGAGGTTTCGAAAAAGTTTACAAAAGCTTCATTGACAAACTCGATGAGGTATGTTTCTTGATTCAATCAGTTTTATTGTGTAATGTGGATTTAACTGGTTAGAGATTTTTTTAACAATCTGTGAATAGGCTCTTGCAATCAAGCAACATTCGAAATGGTGCTCGAGGAATCAAAGAGTTCGTGTGAATTGTTGACACTAAGTCTCGCTGATCATGAGAACCTTGTAAAGCTTATTCGTTTCTGTGCTCAAGGTGTTCAGAGGCTCTTGATCTACGAGTACATGCCACTAAGATCTCTTGAAAATTACCTCTATGGTATGTTCTTGTAGTATACCTCAACTCAAAATTTCTCTTTACCTGTCTCTCTAAGCTTATTGCAGAACGAAACTCAATCGTCATTTCTGTTTGGTTTTAGATCTTCCTCATGGTAAGAAACCGCTTGTGTGGAGCACTCGGATGAAGATAGCAGCTGGTAGCGAGATGTTTGGAATATCTCCACAATACAATGCTGCTAAGGCCAATGCTCTCAAGGACTAGGCTGCAGAAGTGAAAAAGAATGCGAAGCCTGAAGCAGATGATGTTGAAGAGGATGACTCCGATTCTGATGAAGGAGTGAGTTTTCTGTACCGTACTTTGATTTTGTTTCTTTGTTTCAAAGTAATATGCATATCATGCACCATTTAGAGTGATGAATTCAAGAAACGTAAGCGATAAGTTCTAATATGATTGGCTTTTTTCTTTGCAGATGAGTGTTGATGAAGACGATTCTGATGATAAGACGATTGTGAGGAAGAAAAGGAGGAGACACCTAAAAAGGTAATAATATATCTCAAAGTCTCTCCAACACTTCCTTGTGCTTGATAATTCTCTTTTCACCATACTTTTTTCATATGATTTGCTTAAAGCCTGAATCAAGCAAGAAGAGAGCCAATGAAGCAGCACCCAAAACACCTGTGTCTGCAAAGAAGGCTAAAGATGAAGTAACTCCGAAGAAAACAGGTAAATATCAAAACTTTTTCTTTTAAATGATTCACTAGATAGCATAAATGAAGCAGCACACATTCTGTGAAACTTTAGTACTCATTTGAAGATTTATTTGGCACAAAGGATAAGAAGAAAGGACACACCGCAATACCCCACCCAACAAAGAAAGGTGGAAAGACTCCAGCGACTGCAACTCCAGTCTCATGTGGTTCATGCAAGAAGTCAGACTCTCTCTCTGTCTCTTTAAACTCTCTATGAGCCTAATATTTCTTCTTGTAATAACATTTTTCTTGTTGTGATCATCTATCTTGTGTCAGATATTCAACTCCGAGAATGCACTTGAGTCTCATAACAAGGCCAAGCACTCTGCTGCCAAGTGAAGTGGTTTCTTAGAGCCATCAACAACTCTTCTGCTTTGGGTTTTGAGAAAGATCATTGTGATATCTTTGGATTGTTGTTTCTAGCCTTTATCAAAATCTTCGGATTTTTTTTCTTTCTTTTATTGAAAAATAAGTCGTAATGAAAAGAAAGGTAATTGGAGTACGACTTGATACTGTTGGATGCTTTTTTAGTTTCTTACCTTTTACACTTCCAAAGGTTGAAGAATGCAAATTCAGTATATTGACGAAGCCAAATCACTTTCACTTATAAAACTTGATAACGCATACAAAAATGTTGAAGAGCACTTTCATACTTCAAAGTTCAAACACAAGAAGAAAACATTATTTACCTTGTAGCATCTCAGTCTACCGGGGTTAATTTAAAAAAAAAAAACCAAAAGGAGAGTAAAAAATCATTCAATTTAATATCAGGTATGTCGAATTATCCAAGATTTCCTAGAATTGATGCTGAGTTTTGATGACTTGTCCTTCAAGCAATTGTTATTGATTCTTAGGTTTCTCTAATTGTGTTAGTTTTACGTTTCTTAACCGATGGATTATAAGGTCTTGGTCTTCTATTCCCCATTGCATATATATATGTGAGGAAGAGTTTCACATGTTAATGAACTTAATACTAAATAATTTGAAGATACTATGGATTCAAGGCATTCAAAGATGATTAGTATTCAACAAATTTGAATCTCATAATAATCAACGAAATCTATCCAAGAGTGCTACAATTAGTCGTAGAACTCTATGTGGCCATGGCTCTCGATCCACACTAACACGACCGGTTCACACAGTTTAGGTGGTCTTTACAAAGATGCAGACACTCTAATCTTTAACCAACCTCAACTTTAATTTTTTCGATTTCAACACAAAACCAAAATGACAAAGACCCAGGAAAGTTTCAAATTTGGTCAGTGCCAGATATCAGTCGTACTCATGACCAATAATGCAAACGACATTAACGTGTGAGGAGCAAATTGCTACGAGCAAGATCCATCAAATGCTTTTGCCAGTAGCACTTGGAAAGTCAACAAACAAGCGACCAGAGCCAATATTTGGATCTTCCTGCAAATTCTGAGAAAATAAATAATAAAACAAATTGGTGATCTATGTTTTCATGGATTGGCTCAGAATCTTATGTTTTTGATTCAGCTTTTGTATCAATCTTGCCAGAGGAGGAACTTGCAATTTATGTGCATACCCAAATACAATACCCTTGTCCTATTATATAACTCATTGAGGTAAAAGATCCTGCACACAATCCAGCTCATACTCCCCATGCATTGGTCAAAAGTTATTTTTCTACGCACAGTGAGGACTTTAGAGTCTACTTTAAAATCTGCACACTATAGAATCCTTAATAAAAGTAATTATTAAGAGAATTCTACACTTTAATAAATTCTTTAAAATTAATTATAAAATTATAAAAATAATAATTTGATAAAAAAATAAATATATAACCAAAACATATACATTTTCCATCTAATAAAAACAAAATTTCATACAAAAAAATTAATTTACATCAACGTAGACAATTATGTTAGAAACCAATACAACCATGTGAAGTCTGCTAGAGAAGTCTACTCAATCACTAAATCTTAAATGCTAATAGTAAAAATTATAAAAAATAATCTGGTAAAAAAATTACATACAAAACTAAAATATAGACAATTAGTATCTTTATAAAATAAAAGTTCATGAAAATGAATCAATTTATCAGTTTCATGAGTCAACAGTTCAAAATGGTTAGGGTTGAGGTTTAAAGTTTAAGGTATAAGAATGTCATTGTTAGAATTTGCACAAATTCAATATGAATCATAGTTTATGGATCGGTTATATAAGGATTCATATATTTGATATTTTGATTGTGAGTTGTCAATATGGTAAGTAAATTAATGTTTTTATATAAGCTTTAATCAAAAAATTTGATTTAGGATTTAGGGTTAAGTAAACTTCTTCAGTAGACTTTTAAAAGAAGTCTGAAATTCCAAAAACAAATATAGTGGAAAATAAAAATTATTTAACAAATTGAGCAGAAACCAGAACATAGCGAACCGAATTTGTTGGTAATTGATCAATTTTACCGGTTAGGCAGACTTCTCCAACAGACTTCAGAAAGCTCTTTTGTAAAATAAAGGTATTTGGTTGTTTAAAAAATTAAAATATTTATGCTATTTTGTTTTTTACAAACATCTAAAAACTAAACAATAAACATAAAAATAAATTATTACCAAACAAATGTATAGTTACTTAAAATATTATATTGATTTCATTTTTAAAAATATATAATAAAATATATACCTGCATGTACATGCAGGTCATCACCTAATAAAGCGAAGGTTACTGCTTATTATGCCGAGTCTGAATGACTACCAGTCTATCCTTTTAGCATGTTCTAAACTTCCAAATCCAAAATATGTTTAGGTTTCTATTGATTTTTGATAAGATCTTTCGGCTTTTTAATTATTGTAAACGAACTAGTTGTTATATTATCAAACAAGTCGATAGTCTTTGATAATGATTAAATATTTTCGGTTGTTTGAGTTTTGGAAGACCTTAAATTATGACATATTGTCATTCTTTTCAAATGTTTTTACAATATGAGATATTTAGATAAATTCATGAAATTTAATTTGAGTCATTGATGCTTAAAAATCAATAGTGATAAAAATTAGTTACAATTTTATGTTTCAAAATCATAAAGAACCAATAGATATAATCTAATCGATTTTTTAATCATAATTAAGTGTGGGGTTTTAGTGTTTCCGTATTAGAGACGAATTTTCGTTAGCATAAATTCTGTAACCATATACAAAATCATCATATAATATATAAAAGTTGATGGCATAGTGCATTGATGGCGTCCACATGGGATTAAAAAACTCCATCTGATTGGTCCACATCAGCATATTCATTAAATAAAAAAATGTTAAGTATGATTAGGACGAAAAAACTTGATTTAATTGGTCCACATCAGCTTTTTAATCAAACCAAAAATTATAAAGTATAACTAAAACATTAAAAGTTAATTTAACAAATTATGTCCAACAAAAAAAGTAAATTCAATCTGATTGATCCAAATCAACATATTTATTAAATCTAAAAATGTTAATATGGTTTAAAATTATAAAAGTTAAATAAAAAAAATTAACAATTAACAATACATGTATAAAAAAAGTAACCATTATCAATTATCAATTTAAAAAAATCTACAACAATTCGATTTAACAATTAAAACAATCAAAACTGAATAAAAATATAACATAAAACTTTGGAAGACATGATGTAGAAGGAAAAAATAGTTTTGCATGATCATTTCAGTTTCCTAACAAAATTAAAGGTGAATCAACGTGAATCATGGATTATATATACAGTGGTACACAACATCAATAAGACTTTCAATAAAAAAACTAAATATTTGAACACATAAACCTTCAAGAAAAAAAAAAGCTATAGAAATTCTATGGAAAACAGAAAATAATACCAAAATCTTAGCAAGATTATATTTCTCTAAATCAAATGTATATATACGTCAAAGTTGGATAATTTGATAGGTGTCACTGTTATTATTTTACTTAATAGTTTTTAAACATATATAAATAAAAATAGAATAAATTACACATTATATATTAAATTTTCTTATATAAATAAATTTTCTTATAAATATATTCTATTCTTAATAATTTTAAAAATAGTAGCTAAAAAAATTAAACCAAAATATTAATACAGATTCGCGCGTAGCGCGAGTTATATACTTAGTATAATATATAAAAGTTGATGGCATAGTCCATTGAGGGCGTCTACATGGGATTAAAAAACTCGATCTGATTAGTCCACATCAGCATATTCATTAAATAAAAAATTGTTAAGTATGATTAGGATGGAAAAACTTGATTTAATTGGTCCACATCACCTTTTAAATCAAACCAAAAATTATTAAGTATAATTAAAACATTAAAAGTAAATTTAACAAATTATGTCCAACAAAAAAAGTAAATTCAATCTGATTGATCCAAATCAACATATTTATTAAATCAGAAAATGTTAATATGGTTTAAAAATTTAAAGTTAAATAAAAAAATTAACAATTAACAATACATGTATTAAAAAAGTAAACATTATCAATTATCAATTTAAAAAAATCTACAACAACTCGATTTAATA